TCTCGTATGCAGTCGTGATGATTCTTGACTCTGTTTATGGTATCGTCTTCGCAGAGGTACTGCTGGTCTAACTTCGGGCATTCAGCCTCCATATACACATACGCTTCCCTATTGGTTGCTAGGAAAGGAAGGGGTGGAATAAGGATCTTGTTATATCTATTCGGGGCTATCGAAAGTTCAAAAACTATAACTATCTGTTTTCCGATGTAATATGAACCTGGTTTTATGATACTATAATAGTCGCGTAAGTCTAAATTTAATATTCTATCATCCCCATATATCATTCTTACTCTTTCTATCATTAACCTTAAAGTATCGATATTTATCATTGAATTATGCGTGCTTAGGGCACGCCCAAGAGCTATCATGTTTTCTATTCGAACTAATTCTCCCAACAAATCATCGACCTTTTCCTTTATGATGGTCAGAAGCTGAGCGAAATGAGCATATTTTATTAAACTATTTTCTATACAAGCACTGCTATTCAACAAAAGTTCTAACGTAGCATTAATTGATTGCTGATTTCTAACTAACTGGTCTATGACGCCGTTATGTTGCGTCATCCATTCCTTGTTGAGGCTTATGTGCGAGTTGAATTCCGATATAATTTTAACTTGGTTATTTTCGAGATTTTTTATTGCATTATCAAATTAAATAGCATCGTGATAATCTAGATTTCCTGTTAAGCTTTTAATAGCAGATCCTAAGCCATCAGTTAAACCTCTCTTCGCTCGACTAGGTTCGAGTCCTTTTAAATTATTTAAAACTAAATTGATTTTATGAGATAAATAGTTAATTTGAAGAGAATATAGGGAAAACGTATCATTATTTAATCTTAATTCAAAGTCAGATAACTGCTGTCTCACTGCAATAGTTTTGTCTTCTATATTATTGGTGCGAATATACTGTAAAAAGGTATGGTAATGTGACACTAGACGAGTCCTACCTAATTTATAAGGAAGGAGGCCACGACCATCGTTGGAACTTTCAAGTCTTATCTCCTGTATTTGAGTAAGATGCACCATCATCACCAACAGAATTCTGTAACAATTTAGCGCTATTAGGGACTCGCTTAATGCGAGTTTTGGCAACGGGACCACGTTTTCCTGAAGTATAAATATGTATAGTTAGGTTAGCCAGAACGATATCGTTAGTGTATCTGGGTGCTAATTTTTGTCGGGAAAATTTGCTGTTGTGGTTCTTACTGAATTTCGGGTTCTCTATCCTTATTTCTATTCTCAATTAAAACTGTGCGATCATGTAAGGTAGACTGATTTATAATTTCATAAACTAATTTCATTTGTTCTCATCTTGTTCTGATTTTGAGTGTACTGTTGAAGTAAATACTGGGTAAGGTCTACACCTACTGGGTCTCTGGGGTCAAAGTGACTTATATCGAAGGGCCTGCATTTCGTAAAACTGTGCACTGAACTATTGTAAGCGATAATCGCGTATGGTACTAGATTTACAGCTGGCTCGTCTTTACGCTGAAGTTTTATCTAAGATATTCGAGAATAGTTGAATGAAAACGTTCTACATTTCCATTGTCGTTTGGTGAATGGGGAAGTATTTTATGGTGGTTAATATCGTGTATTCTTAAAAATTCGGAAAATAGTTGGTTAGTGAATTCAGTACCGTTATCAGTTACTATGGTTAAGGGCAAACCATGGTGCGTGCAATATTTTAGTAAGGCCCGTAAAACGCTGATGGCTGTACCGTCGTGTAGATGATAGGCTTGTCCGTACTTGGAGAATACGCCGACGAACGTAACGTATTTTTCGCTATCTACTGTGAACAAGTCCATATGAACTATTTCTAGGGGCTTGCTTGGAGGCGGAACAACGTTAAATCTTGGTTGGATAGGACGGTCGTATTTACCTTGACCACATACAATACATTCATTAATGAATTTTGTTATTTGTTCTTTCATTTTTGGCCAGTTTTGGAGGACAGAGTGCAGAGTTGGCACGTGGAATGTTAGAGGAGGCACGAGAGATAAGACGAATGAGCCGATCGAAATAATGAAAGAAATAGAATTAGATGTCGTGTGTATATCGGAGACCAAACGGAAGGGCAGTGGTACTGAAGAGCTCCCTGGCGGGACGTTAGCTCTATGGTCCGGAGTCCCGGAGAACGAGAGCGCTGCCAGGGAGTGGGGGTGCTGCTGTCGTCTCGATTGGTCGATGTTATGACTGAATATAAGGTTGTGAACTCAAGACTTCTCTGGGTTCGCTTTAAATTGGGACTGACGAAGTTATTCCTTTTGGCTGTTTATGCGCCGGTAGCTTCGTCGTCCAGGGCTGAGCTGGAGGAGTTTTGGAAGAATGTAAGAGAAGTTCTAGATTTAGTTAGGGGAAACGAAAAAAATGTTGTATGTGGTGATTTGAATGGATAGGTTGGTACCGCTCGACCAGGGTACGAGTCGTGCTTGGAAAGTTTGGCGATAAAAGAGTTAATGATGCTGGCAAGCTTATACTGGCTGTATGCAAGGAAAAGAGTCTTCTTATGACTAACACTATGTTTAATCACAAGAAAATCCATATGTATACTAGAAAAAGAAAGAATGAGAGAAGTATGATCGATTTGTTCCTGGTGGATGACCGACTGCGAAAACAGGTGATGGATACGCGAGTTTTCAGGGGTGCTGACCTGGGAACGGATTACTATCTAGTGATTACTAGATTTAGGGGTCTGTTCGCGGGTTTGCGCTACCGGACGGCAGTGACAGAACCACAGACGGTCTGTCGCATCCGAAGCTGGAAGCTTCAGGAAGCGGATACTAGGGACAAATATCATGCGAGGGTAGCCGAAAAGCTTGACACCATCGATGGCAGAAAAGAATGTGTGGAAAGAACATGGCAGAACCTTAGGAATGGAATGGTAAGTGCAGCGGAAGAAGTGTGTGGAACGATAAAAAGAGGTAGTAGTAAAAGAAGAGATGCATGGTGGAATGATGAAGTGAAAGAAGCTGTAAAGAAGAAGAAGATAGCATGGTTAGACTACTTGGCCTCTAGTAATGATAAGGATATGAGAGAGAAGATGAAAGAAAGATATAAGCTGCAGAAAGTTCATACGAAAACATTGATTGAGGAAGTGCGTGAAAGGTGTAGAATGGAAGCGGACGAAAGGTTGTCGCACAACTTTAAGGAGAACTCTAAACTCTTCTGGAAAGACGTTGGAAGGACCCGAAGTGGTGCGTCGGCCTTAAGAATAAACAAAGTGCTTTCGAGAACCAATGAAGTCCTCTCAAAAAAATCGGACGTCATGCAGCGATGGAGCGAATTTTATAGAGAAATGTATGCGTGTGATGATCTTAGTGAGGGATCCGGAGGTGACGCCCTGACTGGTACGGCAGACCCGGACCTCGATAACACTGACGTCATCAGTATGAAAGAGATTGAACGTGCGATTCGAAGTTTGAAATGTGGTAAGGCTGCGGGACTAGACAGAGTTACTGCTGAAATGGTCAAGTATGGTGGGCCTCGCGTCTGGGACAGCTTTCATCTGCTGTGCAATTTGTGCTGGTGGACGGGGGATGTCCCGGATGATTGGCGATCCGCAGTCATTGTGCCTTTATATAAAGGTAAAGGTTCACATTTTGACTGCGAGTGCTATCGGGCGATCAGCTTGACCAGTTTAGCAAGTAAAGTTTACTCGAAGGTTTTGACACGTAGGATGCAAGAGAAATCGGAAAGATTTCTATGGGAGGCACAATGCGGATTTAGACCTGGAAGAGGATGCACGGATCAAATGTTTTCTCTCCGCATGGTCACGGAGAAGCTTCTGGTTGCTAACCAGAAGATTTTCTGTGCTTTTGTTGATCTTGAGAAAGCATTTGATAAGGTTGTAAGGAAGAAAATGTGGGAACTGTTGCCGGGGTATGGTGTGGATGGTAGATTGCTAAGGGCTGTGCAGTCACTTTACTGTGACTGTAAAGCCTGTGTGCGGGTAAGGCATGACCTGTCACCCATTTTTAGCGTCCAAACGGGCGTAAAACAGGGTTGTGTTATGTCTTCCTGGCTGTTCATACTGTATCTCGACAGCTGTTTACAGAAGCTGAAAGATAGCCGTTTGGGTGTGAGATTGGGTGACATTAAAGTAAATTGTCTGCTGTATGCTGATGATGCAGTGCTTATTGCACCATCAGAGGCAGAACTGCAGGCATTAGTCACGTGTATGAAAGAGGAATGTGAAATTAAAGGTCTCCGTTTGAATGCTAATAAAACTAAGGTTCTGGTATTTGAAAGGGACGAAGAGAGAACGAAGTGTGAAATATGGGTAAATCAGGAATGTCTAGAACAGGTATCTTCGTTATGGATCTCAATGCGACTGAAGGCATCTGCGTTCTTATTTGATTTACCTTTCATGTAGACTACCGTGAAGTCGTATTCGCTAAGCTTTGAGCGCCATCGAGTAAAGCGAGAGTTTGGTTCCTTTAAACTCATGATCCACTGTAAAGGTTTGTGGTCGGTAAGTATTTTAAATGTCCTGCCGAATAGGTAGGGTCTAAAATATTTAGTGGCCCATACTATTGCCACGAGCTCTTTCTCGATGGTGCTGTAATTTTGTTCACTATCATTAAGTGTTCGCGAAGCATATGAGACGGGTTTATCCGAGCCTATTGGCCCTTGAGGCAAAACAGCACCGATGGCAAAGTTCGAAGCATCGGTAGTAAGGATAAATTTCTTACTAAAGTCCGGGTATTTAAGAATTGGATCATTCGTCAAAAGAGTTTTACACTTCTCAAAACTGTTAACATAATCGGAGTCAAAAGTGATCTTTTTACCTTTTTTTAGACATTGTGTCAATGGTTTTGTTATTTTTGCAAAATCTGAGATGAATTTACGGTAATATCCTAATAGTCCTAAGAACTGCTTTATCTCCTTAGGAGAGTTAGGTATAGGGTATTTTTCTATCGCTGCTATTTTGTCTGGGTTAGGCTTCACGCCCTCGCTGCTGATGATATGGCCTAAATAAGCCGTTTCTAACTTAAGGAACTCTTATTTGTCCATTTGTACTTTGAAATTAGAGTTCCTAAGTCTCTGGAAAACTTGTTCTAAGTTGACCATGTCTTCCTGCAGCGAGGTGCTGAATACTATTATATCGTTCAGGTACACCAAACAGATCTGGTTCTGGAGACCTCGGAGGATGGTATCCATCACTCTTTGGAATGTGGAAGGTGAATTCTTCAGGCCCATGGGCAACCGAAGGAATTCGAAGTGGCCGTGTTTGACATTGAATGCCGTCTTTGGAATGTCAGCGGGGTCCATCTCTACTTGGTGAAAACCACTGGTGAGATCAAGGGTAGTAAAATATTGGCATTTACTCAGTTTGTCCAGAACATCTGAGATATTCGCGATAGGGTATTTGTCATTTATGGTTTTTTCATTAAGTTTACGAAAATCTACCACTAGACGCCATTTCCTTTTTCCCGATGCGTCCGCCTTTTTTGGGACAATCCAAATCGGTGGAGACCACGCGGACTCGGAGGGACGTATAATGCCTTGAGCTAACATTTTATTTATTTGGTCACGTACCTCTTATCGATGAACAAAATAATATCGATAGCTCTTTGTGTATATCGGAATTTCATCGGTCGTAAGGATGCGGTGTTTTATTTGATTCGTAAATGTTAAATTTTAACCTTCGATATAAAATATGTCATAATATTTGGCACAAAGAGTCATCAAATTAGCCTTTTCTTCTTCGTTAAGGTGGTCAGTGCGGAGTCGCGATAAAACGTCTTTAGCGCGTTCTGTTATAGGCTGGGTGCGCGTGTACTCAACGTTAAACAACTGTGCGTGCGCGGTGCGGTCCAAGGAAAAAACGACATCGTTATCGCTAGTATTCTCGATCTCTAATATACCTCTATTTTCGGAAACGCTGCTTATGCATTCGTGAATGACACAGTTACATAAAATTTGTTCGGGAATATAGACGTCACTATCACTACTGTCAACAGGAATTCTAACTAACTTTGAAGTATTCGCAGGAATTATATCCTCGTACAGGTTAACGTTTCGCGAATTATATAACAATATTGGGTTCACTGCAGACCGAGTAATTAAATGTAATGCTTTTAAATCGGTCTTTGCTTCCCACTTAGTTAACAGATCGAGCTCAATTAACCCGTCGAAATGTTTATGAAATTTATACACGAAAAACTTTATCGGTTCGCTATCTTTAATTTCCGGAAAATAGGGCACCGTAATGGAATAATCATTTCGACTATGAAATGTTGAACGCCGCTCATAGGCTTAGGCTAACAAGCATGTGGCTAACCTGATAGTAAGTTAACGCAACTATATTATGGTTGTAGTACGAATGGGTCGGCTTGAACATGATGATAGGACCACGCTCTCATATAATACCAATGTGAAAGCATAAATCTCATAAATCATACGAAACATGTTTCGTATGATGAGTGTAGAGAACCAAAAAAGGGGTCTCCCTTTTACTGAAAACGAGGCATTTCATTTTAGTCGTCAGTGGTGAGAACGCATTCTCATTTTTATTCTTAACTAGTTATCTGCCTCAGCTTGGCATGAGTAATTGCTGGATCTCGACAACAGCTTCACCTACTGGGTCCAAATTTCTGTGTTTTTTTTAAAAACCCATTCGAACAATAAAAATGTCATCAAAACCGGTGGAGCCGTTTTTGAGTTTTAGCGATGCTAACGAACAGCAATTGATTTTTTTTATTTTTTTTTTATAGGAGAGGGGGCAAACGAGCATGCGGCTCACTTGATAGTAAGTGACTACCGCCGCCCATGAACAACTGCAACACCAGGGAGGGAATTGCAGATGCGTTGCCGGCCTTTTAAAATGGAGTAGGCTCTTTTCTTGAAGGTTTATATATAGAGATAGATTGAAAATAAATGTAGATGTATATGGGCCACAGCATCCACTTACCAACAGGTGGCCTGTATGCTCGTAACCCATACTCTATAAAAAAAAGTACGCATCGCTGGGTTGCTTACTCAACGTAAACTGACCTTGTGTCGCAATATATTTTAATTCTTATTGCAATTAGTTACAAATTAAGTCGAAACGCAAAGTAAGATGTTTGGTTCTGAATCGATCAGCAAATATGGCCGCCCTATCAGAGAAACTTCCGAATCTTAGCGATGAGGATATCGAACGATCCCAATAGGGAAAAATTTCAGGATTTTCTTATTAAATATCATACGAGCACATTATGATGTTGTTGTTACCCCTGGATACTAAGATTGTACCTAGGACTCGTTACCAGTTGAAAGGGTACCTAGTTCTTTACTACTACACTTTTTGAAACACCTTATTATTGATTACACCTGGGCTCAACCGGCAAAACAACACACTCTAAAAGAATACCAGTGTAAAACAGAAGTAGCATAGAACAATGGAGGCTCTTTTTTACTGGAAACCAGGCATTCCATCGTACGGGGGAACAACACATCTACAATTTAATTCTTAATCGAGCATAAATTATACATATGTGTGTATTTGCTGCCTGTAAGCCATGGCATCTACTTACCATTAGGTGGACTGTGTGCTTGATTGTCGTTTGTCACTCTAATTCTATATAACAAAACACAGTTTTAAGATCCGTATGTATATTAACGACAAAATCTACAACCAGCTCCAAAAAAGGCGACCTCTACGGATGGGACCTCTACAGCCGTATATTAAATAATTATATTTACTACAAAGCCATTAAAATAGACGCAAAAACAATCACAAGGGTAATCTGATTACGTTATCATAGTGTTTATTGCTCTCTGTAAAGAGCCTCTGAGATGCATCATCTTGCATATATTACCTAATGCGTGAAGAGAAAACTTTGTAGCCCTTTTCAAGCAGATTTTTTCGGTACTCCTACACCCAAGGCGTAGTCCCGAATTCATGGAAGACAGCTTTTGTCCACCCGATCCCTAAAAAATGCGACCGCTCAGACCCGTCCAACTATAGGCCTATCGCGATCACCTCCTTGTTCTCCAAAATAATGGAATCCATTATTAACTGCCAGCTCATTCGGTACCTTGAGGATCACCAGCTGATTAGTGACAGCCAATACGGTTTTCGTCGGTGTCGACCAGCTGGTGATCTTCTGGTCTACCTGACCCATAGATGGGCGGAGGCAGTAGAGTCCAAGGGGGAGGGGTTGGCCGTTAGTCTGGACATTGCGAAGGCCTTCGATCGGGTTTGGCACAAAGCGCTTCTTTCGAAGCTCCCTTTCTATAGGCTTCCCGAGAAATTATACAATCGGATCACCAGCTTTCTTGCAGATCGGAAGGTTGTAGACGGTGCATGCTCCGACTACAATCCTATTAAGGCTGGTGTTCCACAAGGCTGCATGCTATCACCAACGCTGTTTCTTCTGCATATCAATGATATGTTGCTAACTGGTAACATTCATTGCTAGGCGGATGACAGCACTGGTGATGCTCTATACACCGGCCGTGACAATATTTGTCGGGAAAACGTCGCCGAGTACCGGAAAAAACTTGTGTCTGAAGTCGAGTCTTTGCTGAACAAAGTCTCGGATTGGGGGTGACTAAATCTAGTCCAGTTTAATCCTCAGAAGACACAAGTTTGCGCGTTTACCGCTAAAAAGAACCCCTTTGTCGTATCTCCTCAGTTTCAAGGCACTGCCCTTCTTGCCTCAGCCAGTATCGGTATCCTTGGAGTCGATATATCGAGTGACGTGCAGTTTCGTGGTCACTTGGAAGAGAAGGCCAAATTGGCCTTTAAAAAGCTTGGCGTGCTCAGCAGAGCGGGACAGTATTTCATGCCGGCACACCGCCTGCGACTTTACAAGGCGCAGGTTCGGCCTCACATGGAATAGTGTTCCCATCTCTGGGCAGGGGCTCCCCAGTGCCAGCTCCTTCCACTTGACCGCATCCAGCGCAGAGCGGCTCGAATCGTCGACGACCGAGCCCTTTCCGATCGGCTTGATTCATTGGCACTGCGAAGAGATGTTGCATCCCTTTGCATTTTCTTTCGCATTTACCATGGGGAGTGCTCTAAGGAATTGTTCGGATTAATCCCAAATTTCACGAACGCACATCGCGGCAGAACTCCCGATACCATCCACACCATCTGGATGATTGGCGGTCCACCACTATGCGATTTAGAAGATGTTTTCTTCCTCGCACGACTTCCTTGTGGAATCAATTACCATCAGCGATTTTTCCGGACCGATACGACTTAGGGACCTTCAAGAAAAGAGCGTACTCCTTTTTAAAAGGCCGGCAACGCATCTGCAATTCCCTCCCTGGTGTTGCAGTTGTTCATGGGCGGCGGTAGTCACTTACCATCAGGTGAGCCGCATGCTCGTTTGCCCTCTCTCCTATAGAAAAAATAAAAACATTGCGCGCACGAAGTAGTGTGACTCGTTTGGCAAACTCGATGTTTTAGTGAATAATGCTGGAATTTGTAGATTTATCAGTATTTTAGATGAAAATCTGATGAAAGTTTACGACGAGACACTAAATACTAATCTCCGAGCGCATGTTCACATAACTAATTTAGCAGCTCCACACCTAATAAAAACAAAAGGCAGTATTGTCAACATATCCAGCACGGCGGGCTCATCAATAAGTATGTCATCGCGTACGTTGCCCTATTTCATATCAAAAGCTGCTTTGGATCAATTTTCTCGCGGAGTTGCTCTAGAGTTAGCCCAGTACGGTGTCCGGGTGAACACTATCAGTCCTGGACCTGTTAAAACGGATATACTTGAAAATGCCAACGCTCCTATCACATTTGATTCATTCAAACAGATGACTGCATTTGACCGCGTAGCAGAACCCGAAGAAATCGCCGATCTCATTTTATACTTATCCAGCGATAAAGCAAAGAGCATTACTGGTTCAAATTATGTCTCGATAACGGATATCTCTTAAAGCATTGATATTTGTGAATATAGAGTTAAAATTTTAAAGAAAAATTTCTTTATAATGTGTGTGTGCGTGTGTGTGTGTGTGTGTGTGTGTGTGTCAGTATGTATGTAAGCACCTACCCTAGATATCAAACATAAAACTTTGGAGTTTATCTTTGTAAGTGTAACTAATATTCAGAACTGTTGACAATATAATTTGCATTCAAATATTGTGTTTGTCTTCCTAGCAAAGTTATCTAAATTACTGTAACACTAAAATTTATAAATTAGAACATAACAAAACTTGTATTCCTATTATCTATATGTACATGCATTTAGTTTGTTCTATCCCTGATATCTCCTGTGATAACATAATGTACATTATATTATTTTAAGTATCACGTTCTAAATAGGGAATAAGAAAGATTTTTATTAGAATGTAATATGATAAATGCCTTTGTTTATATTCAAAATTGGAATAATTACATATGTCTAAATATATAAATGAATATAATAATAAATTAATTTGAAATTTTAATTTGAATTTTGAATTTGAATACCTCTATTCAGAACTAAAAACTTACATGCTAAGTGAGTTTTAATTTGATTATAAAATATCTCGTAATAAAAGGCTTTATACCAAATATGATTTAT